GTCTGAAGACCTCATGCTTTAAATAAACTTCTACTGCTGCTTTGTCTTCAATATTGGGGACAGGTGGGTGTATGCAACATATGTGTATGATGTCCAGTTTTATTTTGTGGAGTGTGTTCTCTTTTTTTTTCATTTGTTTGTGCTTTGTTTCATGCTTTGAAATGATTGAATGTATTTGGGGGAATTGGGTTGGGTGGGTAGGGGTGTGGATGCAGGAGTTCTGGTTATCCCTTGTGAACACTGAAAAGTGGCGAATAAAGTTTTCTGTTCATTCATTCATTTGAGCAGTGTAGCAGTGAATTGTACCGGACGTTCAGTTGTACTTACTGTAAATTTTACCATATATTTGGATAAATTTACATAACCACTGCTGTACTGCATGCATGCATTACTTCTGTGAAAACATAAATTACATGTGAACAATTATTGCGTCAAACAGTGCATCAGCCTTGCTTCCTCTGGGTATGCATCAATTTCCGGGTCCTTTTCACAGTACATTGATCATTGATTTTGACACATGAATATGAACCTATATAGAAGCAGTGTAGTTGTCAATTTTTTTGATATTGAAAGGTTTTCCTGGGCAGAAGTGAACAATACGCACCATCATGGAGCCATTGGGTTGCAATGCAGAGATACAAAAACGCAAATCCAAATGTGCACAGAAAAGAAATGTATTCTTACTCTGCTTTGGGACACACAAAATATAAGATGACAGAAGCAATAATTTATTTCTAGATAGACACATTTATTTTCTGTCTGACAAGAATCTAAGTTTCCTGTTTATTTGAAAAATGTGCCAGAAAAACGTGCAAATTATTATGACTGAAAGCAACCCATTTTTTCATTACCTGCCCATCTTGCAGTGTGATCAGCCTGTAGACCAGGTCTGTTCGTTGTCTCACCAAAACCCTTGTTGAATGAGTAGCAAATCCCGTGGTCCGTGAAAAATTCTTGTACAAAAGTCCTGCAAAAATGATACTGGCACGTAATTTCTGCAAAAAATGTCGCTTTCCAAAGGTCCAACTAATACGGGACCCTGGAGCTTCACAAACCTAACATAACTGCAGTTGACGAATTTGTATGTGCAAGCCACAATGAAATCGTCAAAATCAACGACCAATTCTTCTAGAATTTCTGACAAGGACCGGTCCTTGAATATTGCTGCTAGTTCTTGCAAAAATAGTTCGCCGATGTAATCTGCTGATATTGGTGGGAACTGTGACAATTCCGGAAACATCCAGCTTTCCAGCGAAGACACGTTACATTCCAACAACCTGTGAGAAAATAAGCACAACTTTTTCGGATTTATCAAATAACGGTTTCAAAGGCATATTCAGTAGCAGGAATCGAAACATTATACAGGTTATATACACGCATATGATTCCTCGTGAACGTACAATTTTTTTGTGTAATGCGTCAGGGACTCGATCTTGGATTTGCCTTCCTGTGATTTCATTGTTTCTTGAAAGTCGGCTTCACTGCAATTTGTGGTGTTCAGAAATTTGCTTGGATTTTGCATGAAATTCACAACTTTCGAATGCACCGTGTTTATCCATCCAGGGTCGATTTTTTCGTTTTCAGACTGTTCAGGCATTTTCAACTGAAAGTAAAATTTGGCAACTGGTGAACTCCGGATTCTATATTTTTACTGGTGCCGCATGCTGTGATGAACATTTTCATGGAGAACGCACGTTCCTCCAACAAAAAAGTTACAAAACTATGCCGTATAATAATTCCCTAGCAAAACTACCAGGAAGAATGAACCAAATTTTCCTCTAGAATGTGGTTCTGCTATAAAGTGAAAGAGTTAATTAGTGTGTTTGTCACTATCCTTTCAATCTTTTGCATCGATTTTGCTTCCCAGAAATTTCGAGTTTCTTCATCGATCTTGGGGTTTTTTTTTCACTGAATATTGTACAACTAATTTTGTTTTCACGGGTATAATTTTGTGGACGTTTGTCCGCAATGTCTGACTTTTAATGCGCTTGTGACAGTTGCGATGATGAATTTATTAAAAATTTTCGAAGATTCTTTCGATTAAATTGTGCAAAGGGACAGCTGTAAACATTAAAAAAAGAAATGTCTAATGAACATGGAATTAGTTTGACTATTTTTGCATAGTGAGATCGCATTTGATAATATCAATCATGAGAAAAATTTGTGTAAGGAACCTTCAATCCTCCCCCATGAAAAAGGATCAAATATCTTTATATATACCGCAGAAAAATTGGGACTTCGACAAATGCTGCTACGAAAGTCGTCATGAAATTGCATTACAATATGGCGAATCAAAAGGAAGTAAAAATGATTCAAGAAAATTTTGTAAAAATGAGTTTTTCCTAGTTGAACTGCTAAATTTTCTAACAAAAAAGAATCACATCCAACCAAAAGCATTCTGAAATTCCGTACAAAATCCAGACAGAGACTATGTAATCACTCAAAATACGAAGATAAATCACATTTTGTGCTCTGATTCAATTTGTATGCATTTTTGATTTCAATTCTTTCAAATGTGAACACCGATTTTATTACCGTATATATAGTATGACAAAAATGTATTATTTTTTATTTATTTTTTAATCTATCCCATGTACGTTACGCAGTATACTCATAATCCAAAAAGTCTTGTTTCTTTGAATAATGCATGACTACTAAGTCATTTCACGTTTCTGCTGTCTATATGATACACGAAATGTTTAAGGAATAACTTATTCATAAATCATTATGCATATTTCGTCACAGAAGAGCTATTTCAATGGTCCAAATGCCTTTTTACGAAATGATATTCAGTTGAAAAATTTAATTTTGTAGACCTTCTTGGTGCCTATATAAGGATGAATAAGTTCAATTTATGTTTAACCACCAACGCAAGGAAAATGCGTCACCGAAAAAATGCAATAGAAATGGATGAATTTGACATCCTTCACCAGACACCACTACAATTAAAGAGAAACAATGTAATATTTATACCAGTGACCGAACCAATGGCCATTTAGAGACCGTCTTTTGGCAGTTGCTGTAACGGGTGAGATTTCCCAACACGTCCTTATGCTTGGTGTAAGCAGCAACCAGTTTAGTGCATGAAATTGGATTCAAATTGCACACTGTGACGCTGGGGAATGGCACTGAGGACTGGTACTTGACAGTCACAGATGTCGTCACCGGAAATGACAAGTAGTCAATGACGACCGTCGACACATTCCAGACAGTGGCCAACAGGAGTCCCATGAACGCCAAGACCCAGATGCTGCGCCGAAACCAGTGGGCGGATCGGTAAATGCGAGCCACGCCCCCCAAGGTTGTGCTTTCAGCGAATTCTGACACTGATGCCTTCATGGAAGCTTTGTCATGATCATGGCTTGCCATTTTTTTCTAGTTTTTCTGTTAAACACAGGGAACGTACAGTGAAAGGAGGAAGAACAGCTCTATAGAGGAACTAATCGGCACTGGAATGTTAGGAGAAGGAACTGCAGTTCGATGGTAATTACAGTTTTGAGAACAAGAAGCCTGCTGGTTCCATTCTGCAATAAATGGCGCAAATTCTCAATATATGTATCCAAACAATTGAAGACGCCAGAAAAAGTCTTCTGCAGTTGACATAAGAGAAGTACATGGCTAAAATGGGAAATTTTTTTAAAGTACGATTGTACCCCGGTTTAGGGACTTGATTCATTCCATGCACTGGACCTCATGTCAGGTAGTCGTCCATAAACTGAAATAGCATCTGCATGCCTTAGAGTTACATGTTAAAATTTTTAATTTGTTCCAAGTTTGAAAATTTCAAAGAGTCAAGTCAAGTTTCCTGGATTTGGAAATTTATTACAAAAGAAATTTCAAATCTTTCTTCAAATTTTCTCAGCTGTTGCGTGCTGCACACAACTGTGTTCTGACTTCTGAATTCACCTTGCTTTTGAGCATGCAAAAATGATGAAATTTGACGAAGTTAAAACCAAAAATAAAAAAGTTTAATCTTGCAAAAATTCACAAAAAAACATTTTTGAAAATCTCGCAAAAATCAACAAAAAAATTTTTAATCCTGAAGAATCTCTCAAAAACGTTTTTACTTTTTGAATTTCAGCTATTTCAGCTTTCATGATTTTTCAATCAGAAAATACATTACCTTTTAAAACATCTGTGTGCATGACAACCTCCCAGCAAATAATGGGGGCGTTGGGCTTTGAACCATTGAGAGAAACAGATTGCCAATGCGTTCTGCAACCCATTCTCTCAATGGTTGGGATTTTGAGCTAATGCCCCCTGATGTGTGCGTTTTGAGGGAAGCGTTCCAGGAAGCATTTGGAGTCCATTGGGAGTCCATTCTGAACACTGTTTGGGATGAAGGCCATTCTGAAATGCATTGTTGGTGCGTTTTGGAATGGTACACCCAATGTTGTGAGCAATAATATCTGCACCCCATTGAGAGCATCATTCAAGAATGCAGTGCCAACCTGTTTGACAATGTAGAAATGTGAAGGATTGAATTAATAAAATGCTGCATATATTATGTACAATAATATATTTATTATATTAAGATATTGTAAATCATCCTGAGTCAAATAAACAAGGCATTGCTGCATCAGAAGGATTGCCTACATAAATGCCAGATAATTGTAAATTGCATCAGCAGCAACTGCAAAGTTTGAAGTAATGTCCAAAATTATTACTGTATATTCAAGTGTGAACATTGCATACCATAGCATAACATCGCATACCATAGCACACCATAGCACACCATTGCACAGTTTATTGTAATTTAAACAGTTTATTGTAACTGTTAAAATCAGTTTATTGTAACTTTTAAAATTGAAGTTTAGTGTAACTGTTAAAATTACAGTTTATTGTAACTGTTAAAATTACAGTTTATTGTAACTGTTGAAATTACAGTTTATTGTAATTGTTGAAATTACAGTTTATTGTAATTGTTAAAATTAGTTTATTGTAATTCTTTGGAGCTAGATGATCCAGCTCCAAGAATGTATTTGTTTCTGAATTTGTTACAGTAAATTGATATTGAACATTGCTGAAAATTTTCACTAATCAAAAGAATTGTTTTTCAGAGGAAATGAATCAAGAATTATTTCAGCATCAATAAGGTAGAAAAAGGTCAGATTTTTGAATGATAGAAATGTTGGGGAGGTTTTTTTTTACAAAAAAAAATGATTTCCTGAACTCTTTTTACACCTTGAAAGTATTCCAGATCCTAATTTTCTTAAGTAATCTGATAATACCTCATTTTAGTATAAGTAGCATGAGTATTTGCATTATACCTAGCTTATGAGTAGTGCATAGCTAGATGTGAAGGTGACTGACTCTCACTCAGATGGCCCCAGTTTGAAACCCAGGAGCATTATCAGGACAGCAGATTCAAAGCAAAAGAACAGCAGCAGGAAAGAATATTGTAAACAGAAAGCACACAGAGATGAAGTAAAGAAGAAAGAGGAGAGAGTATAACACAAAGAAGGCAAAATAAAGAAGTAAACAGCAGCAGTTGAATGGGAATTTTTTTCTTTTTTCTATACTGCTTTTCAGACATGGGGGGATGCTTTTATTGGGGAAGTTCCCCAAACTTTGCTGGCTTGCTGGCTTGCATTGGGAACCCATTCTGACATGCATTGGCCAACATGCCTTGGCCAACGTTTCAGGGAATGCCTGCTCTCAGACGTTGGGCAGTGACCAAATGGCCGTTAGCCCAACATCAGGGTCACAATGACTTTCCAATGGGGCTGCAACGCAGGTTGAAACCGCCAAATTATTTGCTGGGTGCAGGGGGTTAAGGGCAAAGTTAGGTAAAATCCCAACGTTTTTTTCCTGGGGCACATAAAATTTTTGCGGGAAAATAAAAGCTCACTTACCCCACCCACTTTTTTTTGGATTTATACCAACTTTGCCTCAGCCCACGTGGAAGGATTTTCCTGACCTTCAAAAATCTGAAAATGCGGGAGGATACAAAAGTAATCTGAATCTGTCCCTCTATGGGAAAGAACCCTCCACAGTCCAAGGGTTAAGGCACAGCAAAAATTGATCTCATTAAAAAAATCCTTCTCTACAAGACTCTCCAGTTGAATGAATTCTTGTCCCTAATTTTGAAAATTGTAAGTTCAATTTTCAGATTTTTTGTCCAAAATTTCTGAATTTTCGGTCCCTGATTTTCAGATGATGATTTCCTGAAGTTCATCATCCCTGTAAAGAGTGGACAGGAAATGTATCTGCAGCAGAACACTTAAAAATACAGGAAGCTAAAAATGGGTTATATTATGTGACTGGCTGGAAGCCCATTAAATAAATGTATCCTGATTAATCTAATATCCCATGTCTCAGGAGTCTGGAAGCACAGTGCTAAGCTATCCAGCATTATCTGTGAAAATCTGTTCTTTTTCCAGTGCACTTCTGTGTTGAGTTATTTTTCAAATTTTTAAATTCATTTTCACATTTAATCATTCTATGAAATACATGCAAATTTACAAATATTGCTGAGAAACAAAATGACCACAGTACTACAGGCAATAAAATGCTTTTCCAGATGATGAAGTTTACTTCTGTAAATAAATTCATCAATCTTGTTATAGCAAATTTTCCCTTATAGCAAACTTTTCCCCAGTCTCGGGGAGTTTGTTGTAACACGATTCTACTGTAAAATAGAATAGAATGAATAAATACAGTGGAATCCCACAACATTGACTTGAGCTTTCCTTAAAGGCACTTGGACATTTGGAAAATCTGCCCCCAACATCTGGACAGTGGCTGGAGTTACAGATGCTTTTCCAACATATCTGTAATGCAGTACTTTAAGTCCATCCCTGCATAATATATCTCCTGCACAACAGATTTTTGCTGAACAAACTGCCTCATCTGGAGGCAGTTTGTTTTCCTCTTGAATAACAGACACACAATCTGCATAACAGACTTTGGTCTGTAGAAATGTGTGCAGCCAGTGGACATGAGTCCCTCAATTCTCCATTTGCTTCCAAACTAAATTTGCATAACAGACTCTTCAAGTCTTCACACAACAGACTAGTCAGTTGTACACATTGAGTCTCTTGTGGAGGGGTTGAATAATTGAAGTTTTTTTTCTAGATTTTTTCTTGTTTTTTGAAGAAATTGAGGTATTTGTATTCACAAATGTGAAAAACTTTCAAAAAAGTAACCCAGTTCGTAATCAAATACAGGCTAATTTTTTACATCTTATGTTCAGAGATTTTTCTTCATCATGTGCTGTACATCAAGACTTGCTCCATATGCGTCTTGAGCTTTTTCTGATTTCGAAATATCAGATTATGTGTTTTTTAAATGTTATTCAATTTTTTCATGTGTAAAAAAAGAAATGGTTCCCCAATAAATCGAATGAAATGTGTTTCTCAACATCAACATACAGAATACTATTATACAGCGGAAAACCTAAAAAATCTGCTCTTCTGGCATCAAAGGGACCCCCAAAAACAAAGAAAAGTTCAAGTCTTGCTATACTGTGTGTAGATGAAGGAGAATACTCCAAAAAGAAACATATAATGATTAAGCTGCTTTTAATTATAAAATTGAGTGAATTTATTATGAAATTCGTTCCTAATTTTTTGTGGATATAGATAGCTCCATTTCTTCAAGAGATACTAAAAATTTAAAAAATGAACATTTTCCATCTTTTTAGAAATTTTGGAGAGTGTGTAGCTTCATATTCTTCGAACAATGTCTGGATGTTATGGGTCAGATTTTTAGTTTCAAGTGCCCCTCCTAGTTGAATCATTCATACGGTGGGGCCTCATTGTATAATTCTATATAGGTCTTCAAACTAAATTTAAATGAATCCTTCAGCAATATAATAATTTCTGTATTTTTCTCGCCTTGCTTGGTTTTTGTAGTCATGGAGGTGATTGGAATGTCTTGGAGGTCAACAATAGGGATTGCGTTTTGTTTCCCGTTTTCCATTGGATACATCTGGCACTGAGGGACTGGTGGAAGCTACAGATCTGCATTTCAATCCCAACTGTCATATTCTTCGGATTCTACTGGTATGTGCTGATTTCTTTTTCTGAGGCACTTCATAAACCCATTCATTGGTGTAAAGAGATAGGCTAGTGGTCAATCATTCCAAAATGCGCAATGAAGATGTCCATCACTGACACAGCAAATCAATAAGTTGCCTGAACACTCTTTTATTTTACAGGTGGACTCACCACAATAACAATCTTGTCTTAAGATCTGTAGAACAAATTCGTGTGAGGTCCCCAAGGGTTCTCTCCCCATGTTATATAAGGGTTCTCTACAACAAAATTCTGTTTACTACAAAGTTTTTTTTGTCCCTAGGGTTTTCTTGTAGAGAAAGTCTGCTTGCATTTTGATAATGATCTGAGGTCAGCTGCAGAATTCAAAATCGCCTAAAGTGTTTTGGATTGAAAGATACTGCAAGTATGTATTAAAATTGAAACTTATGAATAAAAAAAGGAATTCTGATAAAATGAGCTGTGTACAGGACTGAGATTCTTTGAATGGATATCCAGTACGTTTCATATTTCGTTTTAACCAAGCCATTAATGCCAGGAACAAATCTTTTAATTTAATACAGCACTGGACATAAAAAATAATCTGTTTCTTCTGCTCATTATCCACAATGTTATTTCGATGTGTTCGTACTTGTGGTGAAAAATACCTTCAACAAGAATTATAATCAGTAATTCATTTTAACAATATGTTGTTGAATGCTTGTTCCATCTTTCCAGTCGATTTTTTAATGAATTTCGGCTCAAAACAGTTTCAGCACAGAGATTGAAAATACAGCACAAACAGATGCCATTCAGCAAGCAAGTAGACAAGAATTTCTTCATTTAACAAGACACACAGGTATGGTCTACTACATACTCTAATCAAGAACAATATAAGAGCATGAAAAGCCTTTTTAGCTGTACATTTGTGAGATTCATATAATACTCCCAATGAAACGGTAATTTCAAAAATGGTATTAGTTCTGGGAGTCATGAATGAATTGGAAATAAATTTGAGAAAAAAGAAAGAGAAGAAATGTTGGCGTCATTCTGATCCGAGGAAAGAAGAAGAGTGACGAAGAGAACGAAAAGTAACGAAGAGAAAGAAGAGTAAACAAGAGAAAGAAGAGTAAACAAGAGAAAGAAGAGAAAGAAGAGTAAAGAAGAGAAATTAAGAAGAGTAAATAAGAGAAAAACAGTGAAGTTAGAGAGGTTTTCAATGCTTCATTCTGTGGTAATTCAGAGAGGGGCTTGGAAAAATGTGAAATATGGAGGTATTTGACTTGAGGAGGCTTGAGTTATCAAGGTTTAACTGTATCATGAAAAAAAAATCTTTAAATAATCCTTGTTTCATGGTCTTGTTTAAGGTGTCGATCACACTATATTGCTTTACTGGAGGAAAACTGCTCTGAAAATGATTTCCTAAGAATGATAGCTTTTCAGTTCTTTTATTTTTAAAATTTCTTAGAAAATGTCTTTATAATCTGGCTTGAAGTTTCTGTGGAGATTTCTGAGTTTTTGCAGAATTTTCACCAAACCTAAGGATTCCGCTTGTATTTTTAGGATATTGCCGGAGTCTCCCCGCTGGTTGTTATCCAAAGGCAGGGTTTTACAAGCTGAGGAAATTTTAAGGAAGGCCAAAAAGGAAAACAGAATGCTGGACACCAAGGATGCATCCATCCCAGGTTCCCCAGGTGGCGCTGCGACAGAGTTGCTTTCCGTGGAACAGGTTAAACATTTGATTTCTTCTATATAGACCAAACTCAATGAAGTGTGTTCAGTTCACTGAATTTTAATGTTCTCAGCTGAAAAATATCATTAGATTCTCTTCACCAAAATATTCATTCAATAATTGTGAGGTTTTTGCGATATTTACCTCTAAGTTGCAGGTGTTTGTGTGCGCATAGACAACATTCATTTTGTTGTTGCTATGTTTATATTCCACAAGCTGGGGGTGCCCAGCCACACCTGGGCATTGGACACATTTTAGTTTTGAAAACTTTGATGTACTGCAGAAATTAATATGTGGAAGAGGGGTGCCCTCATGCAACTGTGTATCATGTTACAAAT